AGACAAGAGCCCTTCAATTGGACTTGGTGAAGTCCAAGGCCCAAATTTGTGGCCTAGAGGATGAGAACAAGTCTCTCTTTGATTGAGTAAGGTTTCTTGAGAGAGAGAGTGTGTCATGAGTTTGTCAAGTCTAAGAAGAATCTTCAGTAAAAATGTGCCAAACATGATAAAAATCTTCATAAATCAAATGAACTCTATAATAGACTTCCCCAAAGTAATGAAAAGTTAGATAGAATGTTGTCTATAGGTAAAAGTGTACGTGATAAGTGTGGTTTAGGCTACACAAATGAACACACCCACACTTCTTCCAAGATCGTGTTTGTGAAGAGTATCACTAACCCATCACCCCCACAAGTAGGTCCAAGCATTACAAAATTCTAAGAAGACAGTTGTACATAAAACCCAAGCCAATCATGTTGTGTGTTATACTTGTGGGATGCATGGTTACCATAGGAAACATTGCATGAAAATAGGGATGTCTTGAACAAGAAACTTGAACACCTAGCTAATCAATCCAATGCCTTGAATTATCAAGTTTTAAATTTCTCTAAGCTTTTGGAAAAATCATTTGAGTCCAAAGCATAGTCATGCATAATCTTCACAATGACTACAAGCTATAGTACACAATGCACCTTTGTACAAGATATAGTACATAATCTTCACAATGCCAGGGTTGAGTGCACAATGATTGAGCATCATAGCCTAACTTCTCAAAGGTTGGATGGGATTGATGGTAGGATAACGAGCCTAGGGGAGACCTAGAAGACTGTGATAGGAGCATTGGTAGAATTGGGCGACTTAGGAGGTTGCTAAAGGGGAAGTAGATTATTGGAGATCCAGTGCCAGATGACACGAATTCAGACATAAAGATGCCCGATGCAATAGAGGAGATGGTGGAGATGCAGTTGTTTGAGCTAAGGCTTTGGAGACTTAGTATTTGGTCATATGTAAGCATAGGATTTTTATTCATTCATAGCCTGTGCTAAAGTACTTTGTTTATTTTTCCTTTCTAACTTTTTCGTTGTTTAGCTCTATTTTTTGTTTGTTGTGACATACTCTTGATCCTATGCTTGATTGATTATCTTCTTTGATCATTGAGTTATATGTCTTGTTTGTTCCTTACTTAGTCTATGTGCATGATTTGGTTAGTTGTTATGCATTCTTACCTTTTTTCTATACTACGATTTTATGTCATGATTGTTATGCGTCTTCATTGGATTGAAACATGTGGTAAATAAGATAAGAATATGTTAGGTGACTTGATTATGTATCGTGCTTGTTACATATTGTCATTGGGTTGGCATATGTGACAAAAAGAGGAAGAATATTTTAGGTACAAATGAGAGTAATCGGGGACATTTGCTCTTCACTAAGCTAGATATATTGCATGTGAACATAGAAAGAGGGAGTTTATAGTTAAAATACTTAGGGAGAGTAAAATTTGCAAACTTGGCATGAAGTCGCATATTTTTTCTTCTTTATTTTTCACTTGTTATTTTATTTGTGAATAACAACTAAGGGGGAGAACTAGATTTGTTTTGCACCGTTAAATCAATTGGTTCTCAAGCATATGAAGAAATTTAGTTTGAACAAGTTACATATTTGCACTTGCTTGATGTATACATACTTATATATTATGCTTTTCTTGGTGTTTGCCATACTTGTGATTATGCAATTTATTTTTAACATATGATGCATTTAACAAGATTTTGGTTTGAGTGGTAATGTGTAGGACTATGATTTTAAAGTTTCATCCAAAGATTTAGATCCTTGTATAAAATAGAGATTTAGGACGTATGCATAAGTGTTGAGATTAGATTTATAATTCTTTTGTTCAATGATTTGGGGTTGTAATCTTTCTTTCAAACTTGTGTGTTTTGTCATGAAATTGCCAAATGGGAAGATTGTTAGATCATGAATTTTAGTTGGCCAACTTTTTGGAGTTCATTGTAAATCTCAACCATTTCAATATTCATCATGGTCATGATACTATCAAATTCAAGATCTGAAAGCGTCATTGAAAGGAGGAGATCAAACATCAAAACTACATCATTCAACCTTCATATGCACTTTCATGTTTATGATAGAGGTAATGACTTAGACACCCAAGATGAACCCTTGGTTCTTTTAACTTAGGGTGATTAGGATGGAAATGAAATTGGAAGTGATCTGATTATGACTCATAGGTGATTTTAAAAAAAAAAAATTTCTAAATCATTTATGGGTTTTGAAAATATAGTCTGAGTCACAAACGGACTCCACTTTGAGCAATATCCTTTAGTGCTAAAGAGGACAAGTTTTGCATGATTGTAGGCTTAAAAAAACAGTAGGTACCACCCTATGCTCATTAGCCTTTGGTAGAGCGGTCTTTTTATGGCTTAGGATAATAGGGGAAAAGAACATGGGGGATCAGCATAAGGTTCTCTCTATGAGCTAGCTCAAGCGATCTCCAGGGTCGTTCGAGACGTTGTTTTTCACTCCAATGCTGACCACCCTATGATCGCCCTCCCACTGATCAAGCGTTCGTTCACGAATCTAAGTGTCCTTATTTATTAGACTACCCTTATTTCGAACTTATAAATAGAGAGAGTCTTTCTCACATCTAGATCAAGCCTTGAGAGAGTATTTTGAAGAGAGAAATCTATCTTTCAACCTTAAGAGCTTCCACCACAACCTAAAATCCTGAGATCCAAAGGCTTTCACCAGTGATTCTTTCTATCCTCACAACTTGGAGCTTGTTGGTGAACAAACCCATTGGCGTGCCTTTAATCACTTGAGGCCTAGATGAACCGTGCGACGGGGAGGTTCAAGTGAAGTAACACTAGACGTCAGTGAAGGAGTTTCGACGGAGAGAAATAGCAAAGAAATGAGTATCTAACCATGGGTATTGGTTGAGGTATTAGATTCGAGTACTTCTATGTTGACTTGGCACGTATTGTATTAGACTTTGGTGAACCCCGAGTGGTTGTGATTTTTCTTAAGAGTTTTTCACGTCAACAAGAAACACAGAAGTATAATGCAAAATATACCTAAAAGGAGTTTGAGCCAGCACCAGTGGCACTTGCTAAAAAAAATATGAAGTAGCTTGAGCGTTTCTATGTAATTATTCTACTTCATTGGTTATTATTATTACTGTTTTTGTTTATTTTCATATTTTCTTTTTGATTGTATGTTTGGTTCCTAATGTAGTAGTTTTTATTATGTTTACACTCTTTAGTTTATCACTTTCTCAGTTCTATATTTCTTCTACCAACCCACTCTAGCCACTCAAATGTTCATGTAGTAAAAGAACTCTATGGGCTCGTTTGGTAGACGTATTATGAGGGGATTAAATATTTAATTGTACTATTTTTTATTTAATCTAGTCTAATTCTTTATTTAGTAAGCAAATTTAATATCGTATTAATTTCAAAAATGTATACTAATCGTATACTTATCATATATTTTTTATACGATAGACCTGTATTATGGAAGTATTTTAATACCGCAAAGAGAGGTGGTATTATAATTCAATTCAAACATATTATTCTACACATTTACTATTATAACCCTCCAACTGATAAAAATCAAATTGTCATCAATGTAATAAACCCTGATTGAGAGTCTTTTTATTAATTTAACACTAATACGATGAAATAATTTTCTAACCGAACAACCGATTAGATTAAATAACTACTATCCAACGTTTATGTTGTGTGGTGTTAAACACTAGATAAAATTACGTATTATCATAATACTTCATTTAATTTTATCTTTTATCCATCTGTATTGTATTAGGTTATTTTATTTATATAATTCATTCATTTTTAATACGATAACCAAACGAGTCCTACATACACACCACTAAAATAACTAAGCCGAATAAACCACCCACAATAGGGAAAGTCCGTGAAATTCAATGGTACTTGTCTCTCCAACTTTGGAAATTCAATGATACTCGCCTCTCGAGCAATGGTAGGTTGTTTCTTTGAACTCCAAGAAACACAGTTGGTACCATGAAAAATGGCATGACCGGCCATAAATTGTCTAGTGTTTGGACATCTTGCCCAATCGGCATCACTATAGCCCATTAACTTGAGGGAGCTATTAGCACGAAGAAAAAGGTCATTAGCGAACATCTCATTGACATTTAACAACACCAAGGTAATCAAGAGTGGGCGAATGCATATGTTGACAAACACAGTGTACGCTAAATGCTATATCAAGGGGTAGCAAGGGGTTTATAATCTATCATTAAAGCATGAGCAAGAAAATTGTGAGCATACTAGGCTTGAGAGAAACAATCCATGAGGTGATGAATAGGCCTCAACACCCAAAAAAGTAGTGGAGCAACCCAAGGTCCTTTATAGAGAACTCCAAATTGAGTTGTGTGATAGTGCTACAAAAAGGAGTTTCATCACTGCTAGTGATGACCATATCATTGACATAAAGAAGAATAACAGCGATATGACTACAATCATGAAGGGTGAACATGGAGGGGTTGGCGACATTTTGATGAAAGCACAGTGTATATAAATGATGACTAAACCGATCGAACCAAGCTCTTAGGGCTTGACACAAACCATAAAGGGCACGATAAAGCTGACATACATGGTGGGGAAATTGAGCATCCACAAAACCGAGAGGTTGAGAGACGTAAACCTCCTCTATGAGAGAGACGTGCAAGAATGCATTCTTCACGTCTAATTGATGAATTTTTCAACTGCGTGTAACAGCGAAAGCGAGAACTATACAAGTAGTAATAGCTTTCACCACTGGAGTAAAGGTTTCATCAAAATTGTTGCCATGGAGTTGGGAGTAGCCTTTGGCCACCAATCGGGCTTTGTATCGTTCAACATCACCTGAAGGTAAGAAATTGGTTTTGTAGACCCATTTAGTATTAATAATATACATGTCTAGATGCCAAGGAACCAAACTCCAGGTTCCATTACTGTGGAGAGCTGCTAATTCCTCCTCTGTGGTAGTGTGCCAAAGAGGAAGTTGCAAGGCTGACTGAAGGTTTATTGGCTCAGCATTATTTCAATGACAGTAAGAAGATGTGAAGGTGAAGAAGACAAAGCTAAAGAAGCCAAAGAGCAAATTGGGTAAGGGGATCGGCGAGATTTGCTGCGGTTTGTCATTGGATGAGTGGAAACACTGGTATTTGTGATGTGACAATTTGGCAAAGATAAAGAAAAGGGAAGAACAATTTTGAGATAACCAACTTGGGGAGAAGATGTTGAACTAAAAGAAGGAATGTGGGAACTAGAATCTACTAGTGAAGAACCTAAACCTATTGGGCCAAGATGGCCACTAGATGAGGTCGATGCAACAATTATCAGTGGAGTAATAGAAGATTGAGAAAGCTTTGTCAAAGATGAAGAGCTTAGTTTCAATTCATCAACAAAAATCCACCGAGGAAAATCAGTATATCGTAGATATTCTCCATGAAGAGTAGGTGGCATGTGCAAGACATCACAATAGCGGCAAGGAAAAATCGTTTCATCGAATACGACATGACGTGAAATATATACTCTGCATGAAGAGGGTTCCAAGCAATGAAAACCCTTGTGAATGGATAACATAAGCATCCAAATGACCGTAGCAGTAAGTAATTGGGGTCCTTGCCATATAAAGACTGGTACAAAGTTGCATTTTTCAAAATATGAGTAAGAAGCCAGTTAATCAAATAAGCAACCATAGAAAAAGATTCAACCCATAAATGAAGAGGAGCCTGACTATGGAATAAAAGAGAACCTAGTTTCCATAATGTTTTTGTGCTTGCGTTCAACCACACCATTTTGTTGAGATCTGTGAGGGCAAGACAATTGAGGAATAATACCACGACTTGCCAAAAAATGATCGAAGGCTTGAGATTTATATTCATCGTCACCATCATATAGAAAAAAAATTAACATGAGTATCAAAGATGTTGGCAATCATTTTCTCAAATCGAATAAAATAAGGAAGTGCCTCTGATTTGTACTTGAGAGGATAGAACCACACATAACGAGTAGCATCATCAATAAACAAAAACATAATAACAAAATCCTAATCCAGATTTAACTGATACAAGTCCCCAAACATCATAATGAATCTTACTAAATGATTTGTCAGTCATTGAAACACTTAAACTAAAATGCATACGACATCCTTTGCCAAGTTGACAACTTCCATACGGATGATTATTCAAATTACATGATTCAAACAAAACTAAAGATTGTTGATGCAAGGTCTTCAATGTTTGGAGTAAAGGATGCCCAAGACATTGATGCCATATTTCAGTAGTTATTGATGCAGAGAAGTATTATTGGAAAAAGTATATAATCCACCTAATCTACTTCATGTCATCAATGGTGTCCCAGACTTGCAATCCTTAATAGACAAACTAGATCGTGAAAAGTCAAAGAGAAATTTATTATCATCGAGTAGTTGACTGACAGATAAGAGATTTTTCTAAATTCCTTAAACCAAAAGAGCATGATTTAATTGAATATCATGTTCATTGCAGTTAATAATAACTGAGCCTTTATGAGTGGCATGTAAGGCATCACCATTTTCCACGTATACTTTCCCATAAGAAGTCACATACTTTCTCATCGGAAGTACAAGGATGAATATGTGTAAAATACCTGGATCACCAGTAATATGAGATGTAGTGCCACTATCGAAATACCAATTTGGATCATTTGGATCTGTTAAAGATAATGCTGAAAGTGCATATGGAATATTTCTTGACTGATAAGTATGATTGCATTGAAGCCAACAATTGAGGGCGTTATGACCCTTTTTTCCACAAATCTAACACTCGGGAACAAAGTTGGAAGAATTGGTGTGATTTGAAAATTCATGTTTTGATTGGTTAGAGAAATTTTAGATGTGGTTACTTGTAACACCCCGTATTTTCTTTTATATATGTATATAGATATATAGTAAATAATTGTTGTAAAAATGGGGATATGTGTAGTGATGTGTGTTTGAATTTGGTAGAATGAAAAAGGGATAAACAGTGCACTGGCTGTAACATCAAGCTCGATTTCGACCTTGATGCAGTCCATATCTCTCAAAACTTAAAACATGAAATTTGTAGAGCTCTCTCTTAGGATTCCATATCACCTTGAATCATCTCAATCGGAACTAGGAGGAAGGAGTTATGTCCATATTACGAAGTAGTGTCTACACTGTCCAAAAATCTGTCCGGCAGACTACCTTTCGCTAATTTCATCATAACTCTTTATTGGAAAGTCCGAATTGTGTACCGTTATTTTTGTTAGAACCCTAACTCGTATATCTTTCCAACCATATAGGTTACACCTCCTAGAAATACCTGAGTCAAATCAGTTTATTCTATGAAATTGACCAAAAATCTGCACAATGGTGCTCCTTGGATAGTAAAGGGTTGTGCTTTCTTATTAGACCTTGAAGGTGTAAAACCCCATATGTTTACATTAATATATTAATGTACTTGTTTAGTGATTCTTCTATATGTAATGACTTAAGAATAAACCATATATATATTAAAATCGTAAGGATATCACCTATAGTAGTTCAAAGGAATAAAATAGAAATTTTAATGTTCCAAGTATGAATTTATTTTAGTTTTGAAATAAATCATAAAAATCAATGTTTTTAGGTTAAAATAACATTAAAAATGAATCCGGAACGTCGAAAAACCTTAGGGTAGTCGTATGGATCAAATTGGAGATTTCTAGTGGCAAAATTATAATTTTGAAAAAAACTCAAAATTCAGCCATGAACAGTGAATTGCGCGGACTGCTGTGTTTAAAACACAGAATCCAGCCCATTTCTTCCATTTTTTTTCTCACATCTCTCACCCCCAAACCCCTTAGCACCCTTGGGGAAGATAGAGGAAATGAGGAAAGGGAGAAAGGAGGTCATTAGAGCTTGGGTTTTTGGTTTGAGACTTTGATTCAAGGTAGGGGTTTTTCTTCCATGCTTGTCCATTGAGGCTAAGGCTAAAATATATATATGTTTTGACTCATACTTGTATGTATTTGCTAGGAATTCCTTGTTTCTTGGTTTTCTTGCGATTATGGCATGTCTTAAACAAAATTAGGATTGATTACCCATGAAACTTATTTTATAGCTTTAAAACCCTAGTTTTTGGGGAAATATGGAATTCTCTTTCTACATTTGCTCAAGCTTAGTTTTGAGAACTTTAGTGCTTTGTGTGAGTAATGAAAATGATGTGGTGGTGATCTCTTGTATTTTTTCTTAATTGGTTATTTGGATTGTCGAATGATAAAATTTGGGGATTTTGATAATGGTTGCTTGTTGAGGGCAATTTGTGGATTTTATCTTGTATGTGATTGTTGGTATGAAAAGAGGATAATTATGAACCGAGGTTACTCGTAAGTATGCGGTTAAGTGTGGAATACTTGAAGGGGGGTAGAGGTTACTTATAAGTATGCTACCTACCAAAATAGGATATTTATGAACCGAGGTTACTTGTAAGTATGCGGTTATGTGTGGGAGACTTCAAGGGGGGTAGAGGTTACTTGTAAGTACGCTACCTACCTAAAAGGACATCTAACGACCGTGGTTACTTGTAAGTATGCGGTTATGGGAAACAAAGACTTGAAGGGGGTGGAGTTTACTTTTAAGTATGCCACCTGCCAAAGGAAATATAATAATCGATGGTGGAATAAGCGTTCCTTTTTGTATTATGGTGTTACTATTGCATTTCCCACAAGAGCTTGTGGAGGTATGAGACTCTACAAGAACTTGTTGGAAATGGTTATGGTTGCTCATTGTGACTTGGGTTTACTGTTCATTTAAATTATTGCGAATGTTAAAACTTGAGATCTGTTTCAAATGTCACGGTTTTACTTCAAATGTTATATGATATTTTGGAAAATAAGACCAAACTGTTTTACTTGTTTTCTAAACCTTGTATGAGTATGGAAGGAATGTTGCTACAGAGCTTAGTGCTCATCCCCTACAAATAATATCTTTTCAGATTTCGTCTATGAGGAGGAGTTACAAGTAGATGAACCAGTGCATGGGGAAGCTCCCCTAGAGAGGAACGGGGTTCCTGAACTGGATGCTTAGAGTTATATTTCTTTTGTACTAGACTAGAGAGTTTATTTTGAAATCATGTAAAGTCTAGTATTTTGTTATTTCACTGCAAGTGTAATTTAATTCTTTTGGGAATATATTTGTCATACTTGGCCTATTCTTTTGGGATGGCATTGTGGATATGACATATGATGAATGAAAGTTTATTTTATGATGGATAAATAGACCCGGTGTGGTCAATAGTTATGCATATGTGGACCCGGTGTGGTCAATTGTAATATAATTGTACAGGTTGTGTTTTGGGTAAAGCTCCCCGTACAAAGGAGACTCTGCCCAAATTTTGTTAAAATAGGAATGGTTGATGAATGAACTTTCGTCGTGATGAATTTACGTAATGCTCTCATGGGGTGAATGGTTTTTAGAATGTAATGTCACCCAAGGGGGTTTTTGGGGCGTTACATTACTGTTACCACTGTTGATATTTCTCCCTAACTGTTGGCAAGAATTGTTATTAGTCTGGCAATAACTTTGGAAATCCTTGCCTTTGTTGGAACGTTTCTTTTGTTAAGAAACATTCTATATTGCAAATGAAGTGTCCATGCCACTTATAGCTTCAGTTCCAATCTCATCTCTTAACTGATAAGGTTTGGAAAAAGTTCATCATATAACGAATGTTAAAATTAATACTTTGTTGTGTTATTTTGTATTTGGGCTAAAAATGTTAAGTTTGTTATTGGGTCATAAAATGTTAGTATATGTTTGGGTCATGTTTTTTTGTATTTAATTAGGCCCAAAGATAGAAAATTCTAGAATTATTTGGGTGTGTCTAGATAAAGATTGAAAGAGTCTTTTCTAAAATAAATGGAGTATCTATATTTAGGTGTGTCTAGGAAAAGTGTGGGAGACTTTTCTATAATTTATGGAGTGTCCATATAAAGCTTGTAAAAGACTTTTCTAGAAGAGGAAAGGAATGAAAAATTTAGTTCCAAAGCTTCTCCTGTGTTTCTTGTTTGTCTTTTGTTTGTTTCTCTAATTAATCAAGATTCAAGCCTAATCTAAGGCCAACAGAGTAGTATCAGAGCAGTATCAGAGCTCAGTAAAATGACAACAACTGGGCGTGAAGATTTGGTTCGGGAAAACAAACCTGGGTGTCGAAGAACATGGCAGGTTCAAGTAATCAAAGTTTTGGAACTCGACCACCTCCGTTTCCACAATTTGACGGTGAGAATTATGATTTTTGGTGTGTAAAAATGAAGACCTAACTTATTTCAAATGATTTATGGGAGTATGTTGAAGACGGATATGATGACCCCGAAGACGTCGATTTTTTGACGGATGCTCAAAAACAAGTATTGAAAGCACATAAGAGAAAGGATGCAAGAGCTCTCTCAATGATTCAACAAGGAGTTTCGAACAAGATTTTTCC